GTCCTATTTATTTACTTTGCCTTAGGTGTGGACCCACAAAACAAATTTTTTTTTATTGCCCATTACCTACTAAAATATTAAAAAATTGTGTTTCTCATAGACAGGGTTGCCTCCTAAAATATTAAAAAAATTTGTTTCTCATAGACAGGGATGGGGCCACCTGAGGCCTAGTTAGGACAACTCAATAGTCCATTGCCTAGTAAAACATTAAAAAATTGTGTTTCTCATAGACAAGGACGGAGCCACTGAGGCCAAGTGAGGGCAGTTGCCCTCACTAGATTTAGGACAAAAAATTTGGTTCCTGTGTAAACCAGCCAAAACAACAAAAAAAGAAATTACGAGGGAAGACTGAAAGAGGCATAGAAAAGGGAGAGAAAATGAAGCAAGTAGGAAAAGCACAAACAAAGAGGAAATAGAAAAATGATCAAGAAACCAACAACTCTAGTTTGACCTTACTTAACTTCTTTGGCTGCAGGATGGTAAGGGAAACTCTAAACATAGAAGAAATTGTTTCATTTGGGCAACATAAGAAAACAGAAGGGGGATGAATGTTGGCTGTGATGTACAGTAGAAATTACTGGGGAAGGACTGAGAAACGTTTGATTTTGTTTTACGGTTTTAGCACTGTTCGAGAGAGAGAATGTTCTGTTTGGAGTAAAAAGAACTGGTTTTTATTGATTCAAAAGAAATAATACATTATATATAAAATAATGCACAAAAGTGAATTCCTGGATGAATTAAAGGCTAACTTAGACTCTTTTATGTGAAAGGGTCTGTTGGGCTTCACTGAAGAATGCTAAGTTTGTTCTTCATTTTCTTCAACAAGTTTGCTATATTGAATAAGATTATATAGAAAAAATAACATTCTCGTATCATATTTCTCTATTCTTAAATCAGTCTATTCTATTTAATTCAAACTAATTTTATTAAATAACCAAAGTATGAAAAAACATGTAGGGAACAATTGTGTTATAAAAATACTTATGATATTTTAATATTTTTTTATATTATTACATTAATTTCAAAATTTTTAATATTACTTATCAAAAAAAAAAATTTCAAAATTTTTAATATTACTTGTCTACCCCCTCGCTGGATCTTAAACTTGACTCTATCCTTGCTCATAGATCCACTTTGGGAATAGATCACTGTCCCCAACTAAAATAATTTTATAGCCCTTGTTTGATCCCCTTTTTTTCAAAATATATTTTTTTCTCTTCTTTTCAATCACATATTCTTCAATAAAATAATATTACACGCAATCTAAAATCTTTTCTTATTTTTTAACCACACATTCTCCGTCAATCTACTATTTCAAAATGCATTTTACATCAAAAAATGTGGCTCAAACATAGGGCTGTCCGTGGGTCGGTTCGGTTATGAAGAGAACTGAACCGACCCAAAACTTTCGGATATTTAATAAATAGAACCGTCGGGTCCAAATATAATTATGGAACCGTTTGGGTTCGGTTCGGTTCCTTGCCATAATTAAATTTTTTAATATTTACAGCAACACTATATAAATACAACTAATGACATTTCATTCGTAACTTTTACAAATTAACGTAAC